GCATCTCCTGAAAGAGATGAAAAAATAAGAATGAGGTAAGGAACCTAGGTGAAGAATGGCAAAGGCCAAGCAAAGAATGACTGGTAAAGAAATATGAGCAAATTATGTTCCAGGGACAACTATTCCAGAATCAATCAGGCCAGCTGCTAAAGACCAAACCACCAGTCACTGGAAACATGAGTACAAAGCCATTGGCAGCTTCACCTATGAAAGTAGTAAGAAGAGTAAGTGTTTCCATGTGGTCTGGAAGGACTCCCCCTTTAAAAAAGTAGACTCTTCTTGCTTGAGGTAAAACTACCTGCCAAATTCTAACAGACAGATATTTGCTGGATACCCAGCCAAAACTGGTTGGGGAATCCAGTTAGAAAGTCTTTAGAGGCAGGACATTGGGATGGGGTGGATGGGTGATGAGTGGAAGAAGAAATGTAGGGAGTTCAGGAAGAGAAAACTGCACACTCTGAGGCCTGATTGATAATCTGTCATCAGCCTCCTTTGATTCTTCCTGCCCTTTTTTGCATGTTAAAATTAATGTTTATTTTTTTTCCAATTAACAAACATTTATTTTCTCCACCTTCTACCTTCCCCTCCCCCTCTGGAAAAAAAAAACTCCAAAACTCTTGCAATGAAAAAAAGAAAAAACAAAACTTAGTTTTGCTTAGTTAAGCAAAACAAACTATCATATTGTCCTAATTGGAAAACGTGTCTTGTTCTACATCACGCTGTTGGGAGGTGGGTAGCATTCCTTAGCATCTCAACTCTGGAATCATGCTTGGTCATTGCATTGATCTGAGTTACCAAGTCTTTCAAAGTTGTTAATTTTTAAAATACTGTTATAATTTAAATTTTTCTCCTGGTTTTGTTCACTTCCCTTGCATCAGTTCATATACATCTTCCTAGGTTTCTCTGAAACTGTCTCCATTTCTTACAGAACAACTAGATTCTATTACATTCATATGCTGTCATTTGTTCATTTTCCAATTCAGGGGAACTCCTTTAGTTTTCAGGCAGCTAGGTGGTGCAGTGGATTGAGTGCTGGGCCTGGAGTCAGGAAAACTCATCTTTGTGAGTTCAAATCTTGCCTCAGACACTTACTAGCTGTGTGACAAGCCATTTAACCCTGTTTGCCTCAGTTTCCTCATCTGTAAAATGATGGGGAGAAGGAAATGGCAAACTACTCCAGTATTGCTGCCATGAAAACCCCAAATGGGGTCATAAACAGTGGAATGTGACTGAACCACTCTTGGTTTTCAGTTCTTTGCCACCACAAAAAGAGCTGCTATAAATATTTTTGTACCTGTAGATCCTTTCCCTCTATTTTTAAAAAAATCATTTAGATCATTTTATTGGGTTTTTTTTTGTCATTTAGTAGTTGTTTTACCTTCATGTTCTTTCCAGAAAATTCATATAAGGGTCTTGGATTCGAGCTCAACTAGGAGCCCTTGGAGCTCTATCATAGAATAGACTACATTTTTCATAAACCATGTGGAAATCCTGAAGAGAAAGCTTTCAGGTTTGGAAACTTGTAGAAAATCATTCTCAGTCATGAATGATCTTCCTTCCATTCCCTCCTTAGCTCTCTGCAACTTGGTTTCTAACCTCATTACTGCACTAACACTATTCTTTCAAATTTACCAATCACCTCTTAATTGCCAAAGCTGACAGTCTTTTTTCAGTCTGTGCTGTATTTGACACTATTGGCATCCCTTTCTTCTCTGGGCTTTTGTGACACTTCCTTCTCCTGGTTCTCTCCTGTCTGACTGAGCCCTGTAACTGTGGGTGTTCCCTAAGGCTCAGTCTTAGGCCCAACATTCACCCTCCATACTTTCTCGGGTTTATTTATCAGCTCCATCGGCTTCATTATCATTTCTATATCCATAACTCTTAAATCTATATAAACGGCTCCAGTCTTTCTTCTGAGGTTCAATCTCTGTTTTGTTCAAGGCCCCTCATTCTTCCAATCTCTTGGATTCCTCACTGTCCCTAATCCTACATATCCAATTAGTTATCAAATCGTGACATTTCTACCTCTGCAACATTTCTCATCTCTGACCTTTTTTCTCTGGGGAGGCTTGGAGTTGCTAAGTGCCTTATCCAACTGAGGTCAAACAGCTAATTAATGTTAAAGCTGGGGCTTTAACCCAAGTGTCCCAGGTCAAGCTTTTTTCTACAACACCGCAGAGCCTTTATGTTTGTTGAATGAATGAAGCAAAATCTCCTCACTGCTTCTTTAACTGGAGGAAGTGTACCTCCCTAAGAGAGAATGGTCAGTAACCTATAAAGTTGTACATCAAGAAAACAATAGGTAATGGCAGTTTCATCAGTTTATAATTTTTGCTCAATCAATAAATAAGGGTGAGTTAATTTCCACATTTCCAAACTAATAAAAAAAAATGAATCACTGGCTACATACAACAAAAAGGGAAGAACAGTCCTGGACTCGAACAACTCTGCTGTGTTTATCTGAGAATTAAACTTTACCCTGTTGGAAGTGAGGAAGACCAGAGGAAAATGAGACATGTTTCTTTAAGGAATTACAAAAATTACAGTTTAAACTAGTGAATTCTCTGGCCTCTCAAAAATGGTTTTTAAGACTGAGAAATGCATGGCATCACTTTCCACTCTGTCTTTAAAAGAGAAAGTTAAAGAAACAGTCCCCTCTCCACCAAAGAAAAGACTATCCCAATGGACAGAAGCAGCCTTCCTGTCTTCATAGCTGGGATTTCTTTTTCACAAATCACTAGACAAAGTCTGGAAACTGAGCATCCCATTCAATTCAACGAGTATTTTTTTAAATGCCCATAACGCTGGGTACACAACACCCCTACCCGGGGGTGTTGCCCAAGGCTCAGTACTAGGCACACTATTCCCCCTCCACACTCGACTAACTTATCAGCTCCCACCAGCTCAATTGTCATTTCTACATCGATAATTCTTAAGTCCGTGTGGCCAGCCCCAGCCCAGTCTGCGGGGGTGACAAAGACAAAAAGCAAACGGCCCCTGCCCTCGTGAAGTCTTAGGATCTACGGGCCTTGGATAAGAATCCCTCGTGGAAATGGGGCTCGGTCAGAAGCCAATACCTGGGCCTCAAGGGGGAGGATTTAGCTGGGCCAGGCGACCAGGCCCCGCCATGTCTCGAGGTTCACCGCCGGGAAAGCCACGAAGGTCAAGAACTCGAGAGGCAGGCTACTGGAGAGGACCTCAGAGGGGCCTAGATTAGGGGCCAGCGCCTCTACGCGGGTCTCGCGCGGGAGGCCGGAGTGTCCGCCGGGCCCCCAGACTCACCTCGGCCGTAGCCCTGCGTGTGCTTGGCGAAGCTCCTCACCACGGCCTCCACGGCCTCGCGCAGCACGGCGGGGCTGCCCGCGGCGCCGGGGGGCAGAGGGAGTCCCGCGGCCCCGGACAGCAGCAGAGGCGGCGGCGGGGGGGCCGGCGGCGGTGGCGCCGGCTGGGGGCCCCCCTGGGGGCTGGCAGCTGCGGCTGCGGCCCCGGTCACTCCGGGCCGCAGAGCTCGCAGAGTGCCCATCCCGCCGCCACTGCCGCCTACCCCGGGCTGCAGTCGCTGCGCTCGCATCGTCTCCATCTAGGCTGACTCCCACAGCACCCAGCCGCAGCCCAGAAAACTCCCGAGCCGTCGCCTCCGGGCCCCGAGCTAACGGTCTACAAGGTCTGGGACAGCTCGGGCCGCGCGCCTCGGGGCGGGGGCAGCCGTAAGCACTCCATTGGCTGTCAGTCATGAGGGGGCGGGGACGAGCCGGCTCTGTGCCAATCACAGCCAGGGGGCGGGAGAAAAATCCTGCCTCCCCACCGCAGGCAGCTTACCACCGTGGGTGGAGCTAGCGCGGTGGCCATTCGAGGAGAAGAAAAGCGGATTTCCACCAATAGGAATCCAGGCATCTTCGAGGAAGGCGGATCAAAACCCGGACGCGTCCAAAGAGGGTCTGGGTTAGTGGGAGAAGGGAGGCGGGATCAGGCGGAAGCGAGCAGCTGTGAGACCGCTAGATTCTAATGCATCCGCCCATTTTGACCCTTCTTGGGGGCTGGCGGCAGCTGGCAGTCTTTGCTTCGCTGTCTCTTCCTTTGGTGGAGGTGGGGACAACATCTGAATGGATTTACGGTTAGGCCGCGCGATCCAAAGACTGGCCCCTACCGTCCGCTGGGCGTTCGGCCAGAAAGCGGGATTCTTCTAGGTGCCCGGACTCTAGCACCTCTCGGTTAATTGATGCAGTCTTACCCGGCTGGGCGACACCAAGTCCTGCTGGCCCCTCGGGGAGCCTTCTGGAGGCAGAGAGGCGGAGCCGAGGCTGCGAGCAGGGACCACACAAGGACCAAGATGACCGTTTAAACTCCAGGCGGAACTCCCTGAGTACCTCGGGGGAGAAGATGTAGGGGAGGGGGAATAGAACAGGTCTCTCTGGAGGTGGCCCAATCGGGCTTGCCTGCCTGGGTTTGTGTAGGAAGTGAAGTCCAGGCGGAGAGGTTGAGGACCAGTGCTGGGTGGGTAGGGGCGGTGTCCGTGAAAGTCGTTTGATATCTTCAGATCAGTGGGCGATTAAGCGTGTTAAACAAAGTGGTGAAGTAGAAAGAGCCCGGTACGCAACTAGATCTTGAACGAATCCTTAACTTTCCTGTTCATTTTCTAATGGAATCATAGGCCAGTTCCTTAATCTCTCCAACTCAGTTTCCTCATCTATAAAATGGGTGTAACAGTTGCACTACGTTTCTCATTGCGTTGTTTTGCTGTAAACAGCACTTTGTTTACCTTAGAGCACTAAATCCATATGTTCTATCCTTATCTTTCGGTGAGTCTAGGATAGATAGATCCTAGGGATCCAGAAGACAGTGACAGGAAAAGAATTGAGATTTCAAGATGAGGAAATGAAAGTTGTTAGCGTTTTCTCTACCACCATTGCAGGGCTTTCACTGATCTTTATGTTATGATCAAGATTAGGTTCAGGATTGCGCAGCCCATCCCCTCCTCCCAAGTGAGTGGAGAGACGTGGTTGAAACTTCTGAACACCTTTATTTTGATATGTCAAGAGGGGGATTCAGATCTCTGCCCTCCTCTGCCTTGGGGAGGACAGAAGCTCACATGAAAGAGCAGTTTGGACTGCATGCCCCACTTCTCCTGGGAAGACAAGACAACCTGATATAATGAATTGATTTGGGGTAAGGGAGTATCTGATCTATTGGAGGCAAGGACGGAAGAGTTGAGGGAGCAGTGAGGGGAGTGGCAGAGCTGGGTGCCAAGAGGTTCCCTCTCAGACGGAGAACTCAGGGCCTGGAAAGCAACATTTTCCCGAGTTGTGTGGGGTATGGAAGTCGGGGAGGGAGAGCAGAGGATCAGAGAACCCAGTCTAGTAAGTGGGTTAAAGGGGATCCCAAAAGAGTCAAGACATTTCCCCTGGGATTGGGTGTGTAAATAATACATTATAGAGCATGTGCCACTGTACTTAATAAATAGAAATAAATAATTGCAAGCACAGGAAGGTAAAGGATTGGTGGAGGGTTTTTTTTGGGGGGGAAGGGTGTTAGGTTAGGCTCTAGTCATTAGCAGGTAATCTCACTGCCAGTGAACAAGTGCAAATATGTTCGGGGGCCCTTGTGCCAATGAGCACCTTTGACCTTATGGTGCATGCAAGTGCATAGTGCCTGTGAGTTCCCGCTGATCCCACATGCAAGTGCACGGTTGCATCAGTCACACACACGACCCCTATATATGCGTGACCGCCCAGTACATGTGAGAAGCCTGGTGACCTTTCAGGTTAAGTGCTCTGTGCCCGTGAACATGTGAATCTCTTCGAAGAGTGCACTATGCAGTGCCTATGAGCAAAATACAAGTGGCCTCTAATGTATGTGCATGGTGTATATGAGCTGGTGGCCTCACGTGCCCTGCCATAGCCTTGTCCACACCATTCCAACCTCCTCTTAACCTCTCAACGCCCTTGTTCTCCTGCTCCCCCTAGACTCTGGAACCCCCCTAGCTGTCTTATCTGCTCTGTCTGCATGGAGTGCCGTCTCACTAATTTCCGCTTGGCCCTGGGAGACCCAAGGCCCCCGGAATGATGGGGAGCAGGGAGGGATGGAGCCCGACACCCTGGCAGAGGTCGAATGTCTGGGATGGGAGGGTGGGGACTGACATTGAGTGGTGGCAGGAAGCCTGGCCGGGTATGGGAGATGTGGTCCAGGAGCAACGTCCCAGAGCCCCTCCGTTCCAGCAGCCCAGGACTCCGTCTCCGCCCACTCAGAGGAGACACTGCCCCCGGAAGGCTCTCTTGAGACTGACCAGGTGAAGTAACTGAGCTGGCCTGAGGGAGGGTGAGTGGGGAAGCACTGTACCGGCGGCGCTCATGAGACAAGCGACTGGAGTCCACAGAGTCAGTGCATAGGTGACTGGGGCCGTCTAGCTCCACCGGCTCCATACGGCTCAGCTTCTGCTTCAGCCCGGGCAGGGGAACCGATTCCTGGGCCTCTGGCGCCGTATTGCGCCGGGAAAGGGCCCCTCCACCTATGACTTTTTCAGCCCATGGGGGTGGTTCCTCAGGCCCCTCGGTGCTGTGGCGCCGAGAGAGCCGAGGTCGACTAGTCAGCGCCAGGCCGTTAAATTCGGCAATCAATCGGTCAGTCGCTGGTCGCCCCTCGGCTGGCGGGAGCGGTTGAGGGGCGACTAGTCCCCAAGGCTCGGAGTTGAGCCTCTTGAGTGGTTTAGGTGGAGGGTGGCGGGGCGGTTTGGGGAGGGGTTCAGAAGAAGCTGGGTCGTCTGGGGGCTTAGGGAGGGGGAATTCGAACACGTCTCGCTTCTCCTCCTCCTCTTGGGCCCGGGGAGACAGCACTCCTTTTCCTCCCCCTCCAGTCTGCAGTTGGATTTCCGAAGGCGACATGCAAACCCCCGGGGTTGGGACTGGGGTGGGCGGGTCTTCGACCCCCGGGGAGGGAGGAGAATTGAGATACTGCCGGGTCTTCTTGGTGCCCGAGGGCGAAGTGTCGGTAGTGATGATGATGACTTCTGTGCCCTTGGCTTTGCAGGCTTCCAGCAAGGCTGAGAGGGTCTCGCGATCACCGCGGTCCAATGCGTGGACTAGAGCTGAGGCGCCAGCGTGGTCGCGGGCCGACGGGTCCGCGCCGTGGGCTAGGAGAAGGGTAGCTACTGCAGCTCCTCCACCTCCGGCGCAGGCGTGCATGAGAGCCGTGCGCCCCAGCCGGTCGGCTATGTTGGGGTCAGCGCCCTGCTCCAGGAGGTAGCGTACCATGCGGGCCCGGTTCTCAGGGTCGTCGTAGCGGGCCCGACAGGCAGCCATCAGTGCAGTCTCCCCCTGCGCGTCGCCCTCATTCACGTAAGCACCTCCCTCTAAGAGCAACCGAGTCAAGCGCAGCTTCCCCTGCCCCACTGCCCGTAGGAGAGCGTGCCCCTCGGCGTGCAGCATGGCCAAGGTGGTAGGTGGGAGAAAGGCAGCGGCTGAAACTACCAGAAGAGGTGGAGAGGGAGATGCGGGACAAGGATGGGGACAGTGCCTAGAGGAGAACTGAGGCTCAGCAGCTACGGTGCTCCCTGTCAGAGAGATAGACCAACATTGACAGACACAAGCATAAAGACAAGACAGGGAATCATAGAGATACAGAGATTTGGAGTGGGTCACTGTGGCACACAGTTCCGTCCTCTGCCCCATGCCACTATGCCCCCCTAAATGCTGGTCTGAAAAAAGAGCTCGCGTGCACCCGCCTGCGATGAATGCTCGTGCAAGTGCGTGTGTGCACGCGCGGGAATGTCCGCACCCCAACCTTCACCCTCAGCCCCCGAGCCATTTCCAGCCACTGATTTTCCTCATCCTCTTTCCAAAATAGCTCTTGCCAGAGCGCAGACCTCCCCTCAGTAGCACCACTTCCCCCTTCCCACGCGCACACCCATACATTCCCAGTGCCTTCCCCCTTTCCTCGGAGCCGCAGCTCTGGGAGGGGTCGCGGCTCCGGTCCAAGGGTCTTAAACTGGAAGAGGGAAGAGTTCAGAGTTCCCCTTTCTCCAGTTGTGTTCCCTATCTCCCGCTCCTTGTACCCCTCCCAGGCGGTGTGCCCAGATACCTGTATGTCCGCAGGATCTCCTCCCGGCCAGGGCCTGGGCTGGGACCCGGACCAGGGTGCAGTGTGGGTGAAGAAGCCGGGTCCTTAAGCACCCACATGGTGAGGGTGGGCCGCTGTGGCCCCCACTGTATCTGTGCTCGAACCTAGGTTCCCCTGCTCCAGATCCCTCCTCCCGTGCGCCCCGGGCGCAGAGCCGGCTGGGGGTGGGGGGGGAGGCGGAGCTCGGCGGAGCTATTTATAGACGAGTCTCTGCGGGTGGGGGTGGCAGGCACCAAATCTGCTCCTTTCCCAATCCCCCATAAAAACCCCAGAAAACAAAACCCACTGCCCCAGGTTTTCTAAGCATATCTTAGCCATTTAAACCTAGCTATTTGTAGAATCCAGTCCCAAGTTGGGTATCTCATCTCTCCCTAGCCCCATTAGGGCTGCCTGCACAGATTCTAGCTAGGCTTCCCCAGCTACCAATTTCCAGGACTTGACATGTTGTGGCTGTGGGCTATATCTGACAAGTCACACATGACACAATCACACTCTCAAAGGTTCTTCGACCCAGACATCATAAATCCAAGTTCTATGAGAAAAGAGACCAAGTACCCTGCTTAATGTGTACATTAAGGCCACATAATGTGGCCTATAAAAGACCCCAGCACAGAGCTCTGGTATAAGCCTTTCCTTCCTAAACAGGGCACAAAGTTACAGAGATACGAAACTCAGCACTTCCGGGTTGGTCTATTAGCTAGAACTAGGGAAGGTAGGTGTGGACGATGGTTGTTTTTTGGACACAATAAAGTAAATCTTTCATTCGTTTCCTCTTATTCTATCTCGGGGTGGGGGGTGGGGAGGAGGAGGCAGTGAGGCAAACAGGGAGAGGCTGAAAGCAGTCTGTATTAAAAGGTTTTTATCTCTGATTCTGTACTTCTTCCTCCTTTGTACTTTGTCAATCTTCCTGGCCATCTCCCTTTACCTTTTTTTCCTCCTCTCTATCTCTCCCTCTGTCTCTGTCTCTCTATGTCAGTCTCTGTCACTGTCTGTCTCTTTCTGCCACCTGCCCTGTCTCCATGGTTACCATGACTCCCATCTGTGCTGTTTGGGAATAAGTATGTGTCCAGCTGGGAGGTAGCATGGAAAATGGGGGATTTGTGGAAGATCTATGGGACTTGGAGAGATTCACATGGTCCCTAGAGCAACTGGGGGAGGGGGCTGGTAGTGATATCAAGAAAAACAAAAAACCAAAAACCAGACATTCAAAGGACTGGATGTTAGAGAAGAGGAGTCATTTCCCAGCCCGATTTCACCCTTAGGAGTCCACTACCATTCTCACTCCCCAGACAAGTAATTCTTGGGTCTAACTTCCAGTTTCAATCTAAGCTCTCTAGTCATCATTCATAGAGAAGGAGAATAGTAGGAACACTCTTGGCCTTAGAATAGTCCTTTATACATGTCCAGAAAAAGCAAGAGAGCAGTGGGAAAGAGACTGGGAACCCGGGAGTCCTGGTTCCCTGATCTTCAATCTCTCTGTTCCCCCTCTCTGTTCCCAGCTCTCACCGACTCTGCAGCAACCCACAGAAAGGTATTTTTAGCAAGGAAGTGAGGGGGGAGGATTCAGTGCGTGCAGAATTTAGAGAAAGAAGGGTGGTAGATGGGAAAGGAGTAGGGCGGGAGGAGGGACATTCTGCAGCAGCCGGCAGAGCAAGACTGATCTCTGAAGGGCTGATTTCTGGGGGACTCCTTTGGGGAGGCCCGCCCTTGTGGGAACGCTTTAAATTTTGTGATATTAGGGCAACTCTTGGGGCTCTTTGCTTTTTTCAGAGCTCTCACATTCTGGAGCTCCTCCACCACTGCCGCATACCGAAATAACTTGACTCCGCCGTCTCAGTTCCCCAATCTTTTCACCGTTCTCAGTATGCCCGGATTCCCAAAGCCCACACATATCTATTACTACTTACGGCCCTGCCTCCTTATCTGCATGCGTCGGACGCCCCGCCCGGCTCCTCTTCCATTGGTTCTGAAAACTCACCAATAGGGATGGCAGAGAGGTGGGCCTAGAACCAGCGGACTGGCTGACCGGACGCAGGCTTGGCGGCTGCGTGGGTACCGCGTGGGGGAGGGGTTCCAGGTAAGAACTGACCCGAGGCTCCGCGGCACCCGGCCCGCTGCTCTGTCTGTTTCACCCCTGGCCCGCTCGCAAGCTCCGGGACAGAGGGAGGGCCGAAGCAACCACGGGTCAGCTTCCTCCAGCCGCCCAACTGCCCCCCCCCCCGCTCCCTACCTCCCAATGTGAAATTGCGCGTGTGCGCGCGCGTGGGTGGTCTCCGGGTGCTAGGGGTGGAGAAGGAATGTGTACGTGTGCGTGTGTGTGCATGCGTGTGCGCGTGTTGGGAGGTTTACCCTCTTTCCTTTGCCCTGTCGAGGACTCACATAATATCGTGAATTTAGAGCTGGAAGGGACATCAGACTTCTGTTAGTTTAACCACATTTTACAGATGAGTAAACTGAGACAGAGGTTAAGTGACTTTACCAAGCCACCAAATGAGGAGGTAGTAGAGTTAGGATTTGAACTCCTGTTCGGTGACACCAAATCCAGCAATCTTTCACTCCCGCCACGAAGCCCTCCCTGGTTGAGCAACCTGGACCTCTCTTATCTTCCTATTTTGAAAGACAATCATCCCCCCTATTGACCAATCCAATATCAAACCATGGAATAACAAGATCTAAAACTATAAGGATTTCACAGATGAGGACACTGAAAAGCAAGTTTGAATTCGAACTCAAGTCCCCTGACTCAAATGCTCTTGCCGGCTACATGCCTAACACTAAGCCAGTTGCAGGGATTCAGAAGAATTGTAAAACACAGCCCCCGACCTTCGGGACTTTACAATCTAACTGGAGGGACTAGATTGAAATGCATGAAACAATTAAAAGCTTTTAGAGACACCATATAATCAAGAACCATCTTTTGTGATTCAGACTAAATGCAGTGATGGGGCTGGAGGCAACAGTAAAGATTATTAGTATTAGGGAATAATGAGAGACTAGTTTGGATGGGTGAAGTGGGTCGGGATTGTGGAGGTCCTTACCTGAGTTAAGAATTAATCCTTTAGGGCGAAGGTGTCAACCGTGAGACCCAAGAGAGCATTCCCTGGTGCTGCCTAAACTGGATTAAAATGTAATTGGGAAATATTTAACAAAAAATAAAAATACAATAGAACATAGATAATGTTAATATGTGGTTTCCTAAGTCAATTATGTGGCCTATGGGGATCCTCAGATATATATGGTTTATTGCCCCCATATCTATTTGAGTTTTATGCTAGTGGTGTAAGACATAAATTGCAGAACAGTTACTGGTCTGCATAGGTAAAGGGAATTTCCTTGCCAGGAGTATCTTACCCTGCTAAAATAGAAAGAAGCCCTCCTCCCAAAACCAAACAGCAGCATAATCATAATCACCAAGATAGCCAATATTTATGTAGCCCTTTGAAGGCTGGTTTGCAAAGCGCGGTAATATACATTATCTCATTTGATTCTCACAGTCCTGTGAGGTAGGCTGTGCTAGTATGTTCCAAAAACAGAGGCCTAGAGAGGAGGCAGTGCTCCTTGGAAGGAGTATTGAATCTGAAGTCAGAAGACCTGGGTTCAAATTCTGCTTCTGATACTACTTGCACCCTTGAGCAAGTCACTCCACGAGCCTCAGTTTCCTCATCTATAAAATGAAGGGAGGGACAACGGACTTGTTAGCTTCTCCAGTCACTTCCTGCTGTAAAGCATTTATTCTATCAAGGAACCTTCCTGGCTAGTAAATATCAAAGTTAGAATCTTGAGTACAGTGCTTTTTCTACTGTACCACGAATTGAAGATTGGAAGCAAAGAGGCCTAGTTAGAGGACTATTGCAGTAATTCAGGCCTAAGTTGGTAAGGGCTTCAACTGAGGTGGTAGGAGGAGCAAGAGAGGTAGATGTGAGATAGTACAAAGAAAAATGTCAAGGACTTGGTAATAAACTGGACATAGAAGGCAAGGGGAAAGGGAGGGATTAAAGAGCACAGGTAGCAAAGTGATATGGAAATATAATTTTTTGTTGATTCTGGGATAAAGAAAAAAAAAACTCAACATTCAGGAGGTAGGCAGATTTTAGATGAGTGGGTGGTAGGTTGAGGAAAAAGCCAATGGGGTATTTGGAACCAAAGGCCCTTGGCTGTCAGCATAGTGGGGGGTCTCATCAGTCTCATATTGTGTCTTCATTTTTCTCTTTTTTATCAGGCTTCTTCCATCTGATCTCTATACAGCCAGCCCCCCCCTACGATGGCCAGCCGGGGTGGGGGCCGGGGTCGGGGCCGGGGTCGAGGTCAGCTGACCTTCAACATGGAGGCTGTGGGCATTGGGAAGGGGGATGCTCTGCCTCCTCCTACCCTCAAGCCCTCCCCACTCTTCCCTGTGAGTGCTCATACTTCCCCACCAAGATTAGTCATTCTATCCTGGCAGTAATCAGCTGTTCTCTCTCATGAGTGCCCATAGAAAATCACAGAATCCTAAAAGTTGTCTAGGCCCTCCTGAAATCCTTTTCATCCTCCTTTCTCTATATCTATTCTCCAAGGAAGGAAATACCATGTCTTATCTTGCTATGTCTCTAGACTCCCCATACTTTTTAGGGTGCCCTTGATAGAACCAATCTCTTTCCTGCTATAATCTTAGCCCCTCATCTTCCAACTCTACAGACACACATAAGCACATATATACACACCCACATTCCCCTCATCCTTTGTTTTACACTCTGTGGTGGTGAGGAAAGGAGACCGTCCTTCCTCCAGATAGTCCCTGCCATATCCCTCAAGTCCAGCTCGGCCTTCCCACTCCAAAGAGCTATCTAGTGCTCTCTAGCCCTAACCATGCTAACCCCTGCCCTTCCTGCTCTCACCTAGCCCCTGGAATTCCGTCCAGTGCCACTACCCTCTGGAGAAGAAGGTGAGTATGTTCTTGCACTGAAACAGGAGCTTCGGGGGGCCATGAGGCAGCTTCCCTACTTCATTCGTCCAGCTGCACCTAAGAGAGGTAAGTTGGAATTCCACTCTTCTGTCTTAAGTAGGTCCAATGTATATAGCAGCCCTCTATCAGGCCATGGTTGGAGAGGCAAAGGAAAGAGACAAATATAACAAAGAAAAGAAACGTACATATAGCTATATGTGTAGATGTAGATACACACACATATATGTGAAACAAATACATAGATCTATATATACATACACACATATGGGTGTATTGTGATTATAGTACCTATATTTGTATGTGTATCTATGTATATTTTTACATACACACTTTAATGAGAATGATACAGTCCTTAGCCTTGAAGACCTCACGATCCAAAGGAGAATAATACAGTCTTTGTCTTTGGAGTGCCCTCGGCCTAGTGAAGGAAAAGTCACATATACACGGGAAACAAGTTTAAGACTACTTTACAAAGCACCCTAATTCAATACTTGGTTATCCATAGGCATGGAGGAGAGAAGAGGCATGTCTGAATCAAAATGGCAGCTAATCCCTAGTTTTCCCTTGGGCATTGGCACACATTATGTTTTTTATGGCAGATTTCTTTCCTTAATTAAGCTGTAGGCTGATAATAAATGTAGTTAGTGTTCTCTGAGCACACACGGAATGATAATGTAGAGGCATCCTAGGCATGTGCTAGATGGGGCAGGCTGAATCCTTCCTGAGTACCAAAATTGACTGTTCACATCAATCAGGAGTTGGTTATGTAGACCAGAAACTGAGATACAGTGCTTCTGAGTGAATGGGGGGTGGGGGGTGGGGAAAGGGACACCAAAGACAAGAGTACTTAGAACCGGGTACATTTGATTATTCTTGGAAGACTTGCGTCTTAAGCCAGGTTCCCTAAACAAGGAAGGAGGAATTTTGGCAAGCTTGAGTAAGACATTCCAGGAGATATTTAGGAATGAGTCAAGACATTAGGAGTGTATTAGCCTAGTTGGAGTACAGACATACCCCTTCATATCCCCCCATAGTGCCTTGTACAACGTTCTGTAGAGTCTAGCTGATCAATAAATATTTAATGAATAAATGAGTGAGCAGAATCTTTGTTGGGGGAGTAATGAAAAGTGATGCTGGTGACTTTGGAGAGTCAGTGGAAGAGCTTTTAATTCTATTTCTGAAGCTCTGAGTGTGAGCAGGATAGAGGACAGAGTGCCTAGGTGCTATGGAAACGTGGTCCCCAAGTACCACCACTGTTCAGGGGCCTCTAAGGGAAGAGGCCTCTGATTCCTGGTATTTGCTTCTTCAGATGTGGAGCGTTATTCAGACAAATATCAGATGTCAGGGCCAATTGACAGTGCGATCGATTGGAACCCTGGTATGTGATGGACCCCCTCAAAAGTCCCCAGAAATCCCCTCCCATTCTTCCAAACATTCCTTAGCTCTCCTCAAATTCTCCCAGATATTCAGACACTTCCCTACAAACTCATTAGCCAGCTGAGTGCCTTATAAACCTATTCCCCTCATATTCCCAAATCCTTGTGGGACATAACCTCCTCGTGCCCCCTCTCTTAGCCATTTAACAATAGAAGGCCCAAGTCTGGGGCCCACTGACCTCTGTCTCCTCCCCACTTTCCTCTAGATTGGAGGCGTCTTCCCAGAGAGCTCAAGATACGAGTTCGAAAACTACAGAAGGAACGTGAGTGCTGTTAGCTGACACAGGGTGGGCGTGGGGGAGCAAATGTTCCTTCTCCAACCTCCTGCAGGCTTCTGGAGAGCAGAGAAATAGCTGACCTTTTCCTCCCTCTGTCCCCATACAATCTATCCTATTGGCCACTCAGGGGCAGCAGAGTTCCATTGCTGAAGTGGCTTCCCTAGGCAAGGAGCTGGGAGGAGGGGGCAGAGGCAGAGCAGAATTCTCAATCTGATGTTCCATTCTCTCCTTTCTCCCACCAGGGACAACCATCCTGATCCCCAAGAGGGCCCCTAAGACCCCAGCAGAGAAAGAAGAAACCATTCAAAAACTGGAGGTGAAGTGTGTCTGTGTGTATGTGTTGGGGTGGGGCATTGAAGTGGGGAAGAAGATAGGGAATGGGAAGGGAGGAAAAAGTATGAACCCGGTTGGGTCTCCTCCAATCCCGCTTCCATCCGCACCTCCTTCTTGCCCTGTCCATACCCTGACTTTGCCCTCCGGGGGCTGAGCCTAAATCTTTTTCTTGTTCACTCTATTTCTCTTCCCCCAAAAGACCTTAGAGAAGAAGGAAGAAGAAGTGACTTCAGAAGAGGAAGAGGAGAAAGAAGAAGAGGAGGAGAAGGAAGATGAAGAGGAGGAGGAGTATGATGAAGAAGAGTATGAGGAGGTGAGAGAATATCTCTCTTCACCAGGTCCCTTTTTTTCCTGCCAAAGGGTCCCACACTGCCTCAGACGATTGGGGAGATGGGGTACTAGAGGTATTAAGTCATCTGGAAGGACTGAAGCTGAAATAATAGGAGGATTTCTAACAATTGCTGCTGTTCTATTCAGTTATCCCATGATTTTTTCTAAAATGTAGTTGTGGGTGGTCTCAGTGAAGCCTGGAATGACAGATGAAAGTGGGAAAAGTTCCCCTCATTCTTACCTTTTACCTTTTCTCTGCCCCTTTCAGGAGACAGATTACATCATGTCATATTTTGACAATGGAGAAGACTTTGGGGGTGACAGTGATGATAACATGGATGAAGCAATTTACTGAGGAAGAACCTTGGATAACCCCCATTGCTCCAACCTTCTCAGCTCTAGGGATTGGGAGACTGTTGTAGCCATCTGTGATTATGGGCACACCATCCTTCTAAACCCAGCCAGAGATAGGACATTGCCTCCTTGAGGGGAGGAGCAGGGGCCTAGTGGCTATGGATAGCTCTCCTCCCCCAATTATGGTGGCTGGACCTTACCTCTGTTGCTTTGGAGAAGAGGTAAAGGACTGAATTTTTTTTTATTGTTTTATACCTTGAGGGGAAGAATCTGTACAAGTTACAACTGCCCCCCTTTCCCCTGCCTACCTGTTCCCACCCTATATAATTTTCTCTTTTTTGGAGAAAATTGGCGCTTGGGAAAAAGTAGGGATGAGGCCAGTTTTATGGTTTTTAAATAAAGTTTTGTTCTCTATATTTGCCTTTTGTATTTCAGAAAAAGGAGGTGGGAGGGAGGAGGCATATAACTGGAACCTTGTCCTAGCTGGGATGATCATTGGTTAGGTCCCCATCACTGTCCAACTATATAGTGAGATAGTCCATCTTAATCCTTCCTGTCCCTACTTCCTGCCTTCCACCAGACTCAGATACATATCTCTACCCTATCCACCCACCCATTGGAACATTATTTTGAACATACATGCAAAAACATGTTCAGAGAAAGAAAACGAAGCAAGGACACTAGCCCTTGGACCCTCCTTTCCCCAGGAGAATCTGCTTGTTGACTGTTTACAGGAAGAGGCAAAGCCAGCCTTCCCTTTCCCATACTTGCCTTTGGTTTCATTCTTGTTTAGAAGAAATAGCTGTTGTTCTTTGGGGGAGGAGAGAAGGAAAGGGCAGGTGCTAATAACAGAGACCTTTGGTCTCACATCCCTGGGGAACCTCGATTCAAGGTTTTCCCCTGGCCTAAGTGTTTCCCTGTGTGTGTTGTTCTCTCGATAATGGAGGTGAGAGGCGAAGAAGACTAGCTTAGTTACTTCCTATCTTTTCATCCCTGCACCCCTTCCTTTCACCTGTTCCCTGTAAGTGCCTTTTGTGATGGGGGAGGGGTAGCAAGGGGTACTCACATAGACAGCCGCTAGAGATGCTCTCGCCCGCGGCTCTCTCCCCCACCCCATCCCGGGGTGAGTCATTTCCTCAAAGCCTTGATTGGCTAATGAGGGAGACCCAGGTTATTTTATTGGTTGGGACAACTGGACATGCAGCAGCCACGGGCTCATAGCGTGACCAGCCCGGGGATGGCAACAGAAACAGATACGGAAATAGAGATAAAATAGAAATCCCATTGAGTCTACAAATCCTGAAAAGGGAGTTTGGGGGAGAGTGACAGAGACGAGGGAGACCCTTAGAGATTCCACCAATCTTATTAGGACTGAGTCCTAACTTCGCCCTGGGCGACAGAGACAGGCAGACTTGTGTATCAAATAGTGCACAATAATAATACACATAAATAATAAGTAAAAATAAACAAGTAAATAATATACAATAATAAATTTTGGGCTCACTGGTGAGGTAGAGATGGGGGAGAGGAGGTGATTTCTATGACTCAGGATCAGGAGGGTTGAGACTGGATGCGAGGGGGTAGCAAGATCCTTATTGTGGGGTTCCGAAAAACCCCACAGGGCAGGCACAAAAGTGGGTGTGGAGTGGGAAGAGAGAGGAACTGAAGAAGGAAACAGGAACCAAAACTGTACACTCGGGAGTCAGTGGGCAGTTGGGATTAGGACTCAGAGCTTTTGTGATTACCACATTCCTCTGGGTCTTTTTTGCACTTATTTCTCTCTCCTGCAGGGGAAGGGAAGGGAATAGGCATTTATATAGCACCTACTGTGTGCCAAGCACAGTGCTAAGTGCTTTTGCAGATATGATTTCATTCGATCCTCACAAACAACTCTGTGAGGTAGATACCATGGGATTGGGCAGGGGGCAAACGAACAGGGATGAAGGGTGGGGGAGCAGCATCTCACTCAGATTTCCCATAGCTGTCCTCAGTGTATGACCTAGTTCTTCCAGGCGACAAAGATTTTCTGAGCTCCTGGGCAAGGTACTCAAGGAGAAATCAAAGGGCAGACAAAGGTAGTGAGTCTACTCTGAGCAACCTGGTCTCTTTCCCGTTTCCCAGCAACTACAACATATCTGGATCTGCACTGGAGACATTTCCTTCCTGCTCCTGTCTGATAGGTAATTGGGGAACATGGAAGAGCCTGGGCTCCTCCCAGGACTTCCTTGGGTTCCCCTTGAAGGTGTCCATCCTGGAAAAGAGAAGCCTAAGGAGGCAGAAAGGGAGAAGATGGTGGTGGAGCTAGGGGTCTGCTAGGTAATGTGCCATTCTATTGCTATGATTCCTCAGGTCGTCCACCCCTACGGACCTGGGGAAAGGAGAATAAAAGAAAGAGTGGTAGTTCTGGTCCTACGTCCTGCCTTGCAGTCTGCTTCAGCAGTCTCCTGAGTGGTCTGGGGTTCAAATCTCTTCCTTTCCCATTGATCCTTCACAAGATTCCAAAAGGATATTTCTTGAGCGTAGGTCTGATCAGATTCTTCTGCCCAGTAAACTGTTGGCTCACCATTCTCTCTAGAATCAAATGCAGACTCCTCTATGGCAGGTCATTAATTGGCTCCAGCTCACCTTTCCAGGCTCATTACTCTCCTCTAAGCACCCCATGGTATAGTCACACACATCAGCTGCTCCCCTTGCCTCCTTACCACTGTCATCTACAATTCTTTGTTTCTTTCAAAGCTCAGCTCTAATGCCACCTCCTCCATGACGTCTTCCCTGATCCCGGAAGCTGCTAGTGCATCCTCCAGAAAATTACTTTGAATGAATTTTAAATACATTTGTTTGTGTATAGAGACAACACGGGGTATGGTAGATAAAAGAGACCTCTTTAGTCAAGAAGACTTGGGTTCAGGTCCTTCCTCTGGCTGTATGGCTGTGGTACCAGTCACTTCTCTAAGATTCCAAATTGTTGAGTATATGCCCATCTTCATCTGTACAGGGGGTTTCCTCACTGGAGATTTCCAATGCCAATATAATCACAGGTCTGATTAAACAACAACAACTTTCTTGCTTCAGTTGTCCAGTCTGATTTCAACTGATGGTGGGCGCAGTACCTGGCACAAAGTAGGCACTTAATAAATGTTGATTGGATTGGATTGAATGCATGTTTTTTCTGGATAGAATGTAAGCTTCTTGAGGGCAGGGACTGTTTCATTTTTGCCCTTATTCCCAGTGCCTAGCTTAGTGCGTACACTTGTATGTATGGTGGTGATGTGGTGTAATGGATAGATAGCTGGCCTTGAAAGTTGCCCGCAACCAGATTGTACACCGAACGGAGAGGCGTGAAATAACTTGTGACATGGGCCAGGCAGAGCAGCATTACTGACTCAGTTTATTCATCTGAGGATACAGGATATATAGAGAAAATCTAGCCTAACTTCAAAGAGTCCTCCCCGTGAGATACTCCCCAAAACATCTGCTGAGGATGTGACAACATGAATTTCCTCGTTATCAGGGTTCCTAGATTGGGTTGTATATTTCAAGGTTTTCCCAGGAGCCTTGGCGCCACCTGCATAGAGGAGTGAATGTGTAAATCTAAGATTCAAAGAGTGAGAAGGAATGTCTCAGGGACCTCCTAATCAGGAAGGGATTGGAGAGCCGTACCACTTAATCATTGAGCCCTTTTGGGTAAAAGCCTGGGCAGAGGTCATACTCTGCCTTGGATCTTAAACCCTTATCAGACTCTTAAGATCGGCCCTCAACAATTGAAGACAAAAGACCTGGATTTATGTCCAGCCTCTGACATTGTCAGTCTGACTCTGGGCCAGTCACTTAGTCTCTCAATGTCCTAGGCAGTTCTAAGACCATAAATTGCTGAGAAAATGCCAGCCTGCAGGGATAGAGGGAGTTCCGTATGCTAGTGAAATCACAGGTCCAGTTCCTGGAAGGTACTTAACAAATGTTGTTGATCTCAATAACTAAGGGACAAATAATTATGGCATATAACTGCCCCAATGCCAATTGGCAGGTAATCTGGTTCTTCAAAGTCATACAAAAGGCCAGCCAACCTCCTAAAGTTTTCCAAGAAACTATAATCACTGATGTTAATCTGGTTGAATATACTTTCAATGACATTTTCATCCATTTTCCTTCAGTTTCTGCACAAAGAATCTAAAGGAGAGACATAAGATCTCATGATATACGACCTTAGGATAATAAACACCTCAGAGCTGGAGGAGACCTCAGATCACCAAACCCAGCCTATGCCTAAACAGGAATCTCTATAACATCTCCAGCAGCCACAGCCAGTGATAAAGTATTCGTCACCTGAGGTTCATAGGATCGTGGATCAAAAACTAGAAGGGACCTTCCTGGCCCTCTAGTCCAATCCCCTCACTCTACAAATGAGGAAACTGAGGCCCAGTGCAGTTAAGTGACTTCCCCAAGGTCACCCAGCCAGTAAGTGTCGTAGTCAGGATTCAAACTCAGGTCTTATGGCTTCAGCTTCAGTGATCTTCCACTGCGATCACCCTGTCTCACAAGTAGCCTGCCATTTTTGGACAGCTTTTATCGTTAGGAAATCTGTCCTTATATGGAGCCAATATCGGCCTCTCAGCAGCTTTTACCCACTGCTCCTGGTTCTATTCTCTTCTGTTCAGCCAAACAAATCTAATTTACCTTTTAAATCAGTGGTGCCAAACTCAAATAGACAATCCCCATGGAAAGATCCCTGCAAGCTGCATATTGACTTAGTTTTAAAATGCAACATTATCTATGTTTTATTGTATTTTTATTTATTTTGTTAAATATTTCCCACTTAGGTTCTAATCTGGCACAACAGTGCAGATGCTGTCTTTGACACCTCTGTTCTCCATGACAGACATTCAAATGCTTGATAGCTTGACCCTCTACCCGCACCTTGCCTCCAGTATTCTTCAGGCTAAATATCCTTTTCTCCTTCCATGATTCCTCATAGTATAATTTTTGAGTGCCCTTACCATGCTGCCTTTTTCTGGATCCTTTCCAGCTTGTCAGTATCCTTCCTCAAATGTGACACCCCCAGATGGACCTAGTATTCCTTCCACATGTGGTATGACCAGGGCTGAGCATAATAGAACTATTACTCATTTGGTGTACTATACTTCTATTAATTAATGTTATTATATTTTTACTCTATATAATAACATTATCTATTAGACAATGATATTATTATGTGTAGTATCACAATATTGTTATATATACTGTTATTAATACTAGCCTAGGATCAAATAAGATGTGTTTTTGTTGGTGGTGGTGGTATTGTGGCCAAATCACACACACTGAGTTTGCAATTCCCTGGTAACCCCCAGTTTGTTTATTTGTTTTTAAACGAATTGTTGCCTAACCATTTGGCACTTGCACAATTGATATTTTGAAAATA